TGAGAGAGAGGTAGAGCGAGAGGTGGGAGCAGGGGACAGAAAAAGAGGCCAATCAGGAGGTGTGAAGTCAGGATAGGTGAAGAGAGGTGTGAAATGAAACCTACAATGAATAGAGAGAATTTAGATGAAAAGTAGCCTGTCCTTAAGAGAAGGGGGAAGGTGTGATCCTAGCTGCAGGATAATTTTGGTTTCTGTAGTCTTTCTGATGTATGAGTTTTATAAAACCGTCTTTGAGAACACAGATGGAGAGATTAAATGGTAATGGCCGTCAGAGGTGAAATTAAAAACAATGGGCTTGGAGAGATCTTTAATGTCATGTCTTTATAACATGACATGCTTCACTACATCTGTGTCGCACCTGACATTTCATTAGTATAAAAGCTCCACAATGGGTATCACAGGGCATAACCAAAATTCAAATACAAATCACCACTGAAAAGTCAGCAAGAACAGCTGTAAGGCTTGCTATACGTCTTTAGGGAGACACAAATAGCCACAGCTTGTGAAATGGGCAGCAACAACCAAGAATCCAGAACCCACCCATGGCTCGTAGCTTCAGCCAGGTTAATCTGGAAAGGGCGAGCAGGGCAGAGTGTATTATTGCAAATGAAAGATTTACAGCACGCATATCAAGCAGTCAAAATTTAATAGAAATTGTGAATCTTTTTAAATGAAATTGCAAAAAAAATTGTGTCTGTCCTTGCAGATCTTACCAGTGAAACTAGGGAAAGAGAATATCTTTAACACTAATTGAATCAGATCATATTGAGTGGGCAATGGAATGGGTTCACTAGTGCAGCTGCACAGTGCCAGACTGGGAGGCAGCGATTTGGACAAGCCCTGCGATATCAAGACGAGCAGGTCAAACCTGGACACAGGTCGACTAAAACCTCTAATGCAATCTGCATAAAAACCCAAAAAAACATATGATCCAGAACTGCCGTAAAAAAGACAACTGAAGCCTTAACTGATTTAAGAAATTGCTTCATTGGTATATTTGCATTTTGTTCCTAGTCACAAGTCTGGGATTCCCCCCCCCCACTTACAACACACAAGGGTTAAAGCTCCAACATGTTTGAGAGCTGGGAACAAACAGTTCAAATTCATTTTTATTATTAAGTCCATGAAGGTCTGGTTGTGTGACTGAGGACTCAGCTGGAACACAAACCCACAGGTGTGTGGATCACCAGGACCAGGATTGAGAACCACTGTCTTAGAGTGAAGGTTTATGCATTTAATTTTCTTTAAAAAAAAAGATGCAAAAATCCCATTTCCTATACACTGCTTTATGACACAGCAATAGTAAAGTCTATTCTCGCGTATTCTGCTGCGGGTTGACGTCACGGCCAGGTCCCCATGTTTTACCTGAGGGGGCGCCGACCCAGGCCAGGCCCAGAACCCCGTCGTCGAAGTCTCTGTCGGTGAAGACGTACGCCAGGCAGTAATCGTCATGGTTCTGCTCCGAGTTCAGCTCCAGGAACTTCTCCACTCCGATGTTGGCAAAGCGGAAGGGGTTGGACTTGTCTCTCTCGGCTTCCGTGGTGTTGATCTGGAGACGCCAAGAAAAAGAAATCAAGCAAGCAAAGACAAATTAGAAAAAACAGAAATAAACTCCAGCCAAGCAGAGTCCAGTGAGTTGGAATCGCTCAGTCTTCCTATGGGCCTAAAGGATGTATCTAATAGCTTCATACCTGATTCATTGGAAGCTAGACAGCTTTCTGAGCAAAATCACCAGATAAGGACACAAGCAGCTGTGGAAGATTTTCATTGACCTCGACAGAATGCCAACTGGGCAGAGGAGTGCGGAAGATCCAAACACTTACTTTAATCCTTTTCACCATGAAGCTGATGTTCCGGATTCCTTGGAAGTCTGTGGTCTGGTAGATGGAGTCGATGGCTTTGACATGGCTGGAGATCTGGATGGAAATTAGAACAAACCAAAAAAAAAAAATGCTTCTAAAGGACTTGTTTCATGCGGGAGCCTTTACAAATTTTCTTCCTAGAGAATCTAGGCAATGCTAGGGTAAACTGTGTTTCTGATGCTATGCAAGCATTAAAACATAGTAAACAGAGCTACACTCAGAAAGTACATAAACTACTCACAAAGTCTGCAAAACACACTGATCACAGCTTTTTATCCAAAACGGATCTCACTACATTTCAGCAGCCAACGGCAACATTTCTGCAAGATTGCGAGTAACAGTAACAGCAAGGATTCACGGTGCTGGGTGTACCACATTGCACCATCTCTAGCAAACCATTTGCTGCAACAGTTTTTTCTTTAAGTAACCAAAACCTACATTTTTTTTTTTAGCAAACTGCTTCTTCATGAGGTGTCAGTTCCAACAAATGAAGACACGATTCCTCAAGGCAAACAAATGACTAAGAGGTAAAAAAAAAATCTAAAAATAAACCCGAAACGATTTTACAGAAGAGGCCTAAAATGACGCATTAGCATATTTATTTTTTTAAAGGGGACTCGACTATAATGTTTTAAAGAGGTAAAGAAACGGAAGACTAGAGTGACAAATTCTTTAGTACTTTTGCTCTTAATTGTCATTCTGTGTTGTTGGCACCTCTTTTATCTATACTGGTGAAAACATATACAGCACTTCTGGAATTTATAGTTTAACATATTTAGACATATTTGACCTTCACCTAGTCCTCAACATGTCACACAAATATACTGAATACTGGCCGATTTTAAAAAATTATGACAAGCTAGAATTTTTGTGTGTTGTCAAATGAGGTTAGCTCTATAAACTATTAAGGTTTGGTGAGGACTAGGTGAAGGTCAGATACAGTAGGTTAAACCACAAAATCCTAAGGTGGTGTATTTACGGTTTAATAGGCATTATGGTAAAAAAACAGTAGTGGTAAGACATCTCCAGATGCTTGTTGCATATCAATTTTAATTTAAATGATGTTTAAAATATTGAAAAAATACTTGCCGTTACAAATTAAAAAAAAGTTGCTGTACAATATTTTAGCAATAATGAAAGTTGTTTTTTTACTCTCAAACCAATATCCCTGGTGTGTCAGTTTCCTATAAACACTCATAAATCATCTGGAAAATGTTACAAATAATCTGGCAGACAGCCTGTGTTCTGAAGAGTCAAACAAAGGTTTGAATTCTATGAGCTTCTTTCCACTTTGTTATAAATAGAACTCTGTTAACGGCTCTAATGATCCTCCACTCCACTCCCTAACACACACACAATTAACAGGACTGCCAGCGTGATGCAGGTGCAGAAATTATCAAAATTATCTGGCAAGCCCACTTACTGTAGTTTTTCTCCTCCCTGTTTCAACACTGAAGCACCACAATCCTGGAGTAAGAATTTCCATGGTTTCAAAACTCTAGTTAATCCCTTTTTCATAAATCCAGCTGACGTCTTCTCAGCTGTTTCACAAACCCTCCTTTGCCCGTCATCTTCAAGTTTTTAAACTAGTCGGAGCAATCCTGAACTATCGCATTAGTATACTGAAAAATATTTTCCTTGTTGTGAGATTCCCAGTTTGTGAAACACAGAGTCTACCTATGAGTCAAGCGTGTGACTGAACCAGACACATGAGCTATTACAGATGATTGCAGGTATGCCCTTACTTGTGCGATCACAGCTTCTGAAACAGAAATCTGAGCTATTACAGGTATGCCCTTACCTGTGCGATCACAGCTTCGCGGGTGCCGTAGTACTTGTAAAAGAGGTGGTCAGTCTGGATGAACAGCTGGCAGGTGTTCTTGTCTGCCCCGGCAGCTCTGCGTGACCTCAGGAGGACAGGTCCACTGGATTGCCCCTCCTCCTCCTCCTCAATGTGGTCATCCTACAAGGGCATGCCAGGGAACATGGACAAGTCCGTGAGTTCACAGACAAAATGACTTGTTTTAAAAGTCATAATAAGCCTCGTTATGAAATGCGCCTCCTTTGCTTTGCTCAGTCAGGCTGTTACTCCTGTAGTACAGTGCATAGAAGCCCACAACCCTTGCTGGCCTGAATTTTTGTTTTGCATATTGTAGGCCACTTATTCACATTTGACCCTTCTTCTGGCATAAATTCAAACACTATCGGACCATAAAGAGTTCTAAAATCAACACAACGCCTACCTCTCACCAGCTCCTTTAGCAGATGCAAAATGAACGATGTATTTTGATTTTTCTTTCCCCCAGTAGGCTATCTAAACCGCTTGATGAAAGTGGATATTGAAGGGGACAGTGATACAGCTGTTGTGAGTGGAGACAGAGTGCTCCTTCCGCCTCTAAACACAGGTGCAAAAATCAGCAGATCAAATCGCATATTTAAATTGAAAACTCAATTCAGAAAAACATTTGCATTTCAGGAAAAAGACTACAGGAGAAACTACTACAGTACGTGCAGTGCAGTCTAACCACAATCTGCTATTGTTTTTTTTTTTGGTTTTTATCAAAGATAAAAGTCATTTTATTGTCTTATACAGAACAGTAAATCATTTGCAACATCTGGTTGTTGTGTGTGCACTTAAGTGTTTGCCTTGATTACCTAATGATGACTGAAATGATAGTTTCATCACTACTTTTGTGCCTGAAATCCCAGGATGAACACAGAAAAGTGAAAAAGTTTCTGGTTTTCTGACATATCATCTTCCCATTGTTTATGGTTCACTTCAGCATCCGGCCTATTTCTGCTTAGAGCTGAGGCCATCTGTCAAACTGCTGCAATGGTAATGGACACCCTCAAAAAACCCAGAGGGGATCATCTGCTCTTGCTCTATACAATTAAATCACTGTGGCAGCAGTATTGACCAACACCACAACAAAGACCAGGAGAATTTGCGCACACAATACACACCTTAAAACAGGTTTAGCCTGGGGCACTCTAGTGTATTCTATTGATAGTTTAACAACGAGGTAAGCAAAAACAATAAAAATATGTTTTAATATAACTCAAACCTGGATGTAATGCTGTGTGCAAGAGCAGATGTGTGATGAGTTCATGAAGCTCACCTGCACATATTTGTGCTCCTTGATTTTTTTTTTAATAAATCAGCCCCTTGAAGATCTGGTTTAAGAACTGCTTTTTTGTAATCTCTTGTGAATAGTGTTACTGCAGGAGACCTATTTCTGTGAGAAAGTGGTTTCAGTCCAGGCGCATATGAGGAAGAAATTCTGCCACTCGGAGGTTGGAGTACATAGCACACAACCTGTATGAAGCAAGTCTTGCAAGAAGCATTCTGTCCCAGGATCTGATTTAAAAAAAAAAATCTGGAAGTATTTTTAGCTAAAATATTTTTCCTCTTGAGTCACAAACATATCTAAAAGCGCAGTTTCACAGTGCATTCCGATAATCTCAATGAGAGTATATTCAACTCCAAGAATGTAGTAAAGTACTGCCCCTCCCTCTCTTTGATATAAACCTACTTGTACTACAAGTGCAAAGAATGTTTTTATTTAAAAAAAAAATTTCCTACAGATTAGGCAAATTATTTTTGGATCTCCAAACCTATCCTGACATTTCCTGTTGCCACATTATATTTATTATTTAAAAAGGTTTCTGCACTACAGGACCCAGAAATGCACTGGAGAGAATGCGCAAAGTACTGTAACTCTCAGATCACAGATGTGAGCCAATGTCTGGGGTTAAAGAGGGATTTCTTTTAAGAGTGATGCTTCTTAAAACCGTCCGTTGCTTACAGACATTTTCTGCTCATACCAGATTGCAGGACCAAGAGGGCTAAGGGGAAAGGGCACATATTGTCCATACTGACCGCTTTGCTGCTTTATAATAACCAACGAGCTTTGAAACCCTGCCAGAACGAGCCACGAGTGCTGTATTTGGGTTTTAAGAACTTGTCTTTGGATAATACTTGAGGTGGTTTTTATAATAGCAAAGATGGAGTATACATGCAGTAGAACAGCACTGCATAATATAATGATGAAATGCTCTCACTAGTACAAGGAGGAGAACTGTTCCTGCAGTCCCCACCACGGTGGTCTGTGTGGAAAGAGCAGTGCTGCTGACCGCGAGTCGGACCCTACAGGTTCAGCAGAGGGGATTTTGTAACGGTCAGCTGGGTATGTGTGGCCACTTGAACCCTGAGGGGCAGTGCTCACCTTAGGGGTCTTCTCCACTGCGGACGCCTGGTACTTCTTCATCCTCTCGAAGACCGTGTGGTCGGCGCAGCCCCCCTCGGCGCCGTACTTGTGCGGGTAGTCTAGGAGAGAGGGAGGACAGAGCCTGTTCAAGTGAGGGAAAGCACCACTTTGAAACAGGAGTGAGAGGAGCCCATCTCTTGTCCTGCCAGAGCCGCAGTGTCGCATCCCTCTGATGAGGCCAGATCTCCCCCTAGTCGAGTCGGCTCACGCCGCTCTTTCACGCCCTGTGGCTCAGAATCGTCTCCTGAGCCTCACGCAAACGCTTCAAATACAAGACATATTAAACTGGTTAATTCACAGTGTATTTTTTAGAAGACGGTGGGAGGCTCTGCAAACACTATAGAAGCTACAAAGGTAATTTCAGAAGAATTTAGACAAAATTCAAGAGTGGACAAATACCTGGCAAGTGACATGTAATGCAGACAAGAGCAGAGACGCACAATGAATGGCAACGCAATGGGAAACCTTGAACACGCTTTCAAATAATAAAAAAAGAATTTACACAGGGTAAACTGGGTGGTATTTGTACACATTTTCACCTTCTACACAATATGAGGAAGCAAAAAAAAATTGATGAGTATATATAGTTAGCAGTATAGTACAGTATGTTAATGTAAATCAGGCAAAGATCAATTAAAAATGATAAAATGCACTAGTCTATACATGAAGTACTATAAATTGTATACTATTTTGGTCACCATGTCATAGAACAATGCTTCCTCTGTAAAATCATGGAATCACTCCAGAGAAGATACATTCACAGGCTCAATGTCCTGCACTGATGGGCTGAGGGAGCTGAATCCTGTTCTTGCACAGAGAAGACTATGCATTGATTTGAGTGCTCAAGACCTTAAAAGGCACTGACAGCTTTAACGCAGGGGTCTCCAGAACCAATAGTCAAATAGAAACCTGAGGTCAAATCAGAAACTACGAGGATTTTAAAGTACATCTGAAATTGAGAAAAACGAGCAGTTTCTTTTTTTACAGAAAGGACTGTGGGAGTCTAGAACAGGCTGCCCAGCCATGCTGCTGAAACTAACAACCGGGCTGAAATGGCTGGATGACATTCTTGGATCAATTAGCTACTAGCAACTAAACAAGCTAGATGAGCCGAATGACCCCCCCTTGGGTGTAACCTTTTTATGTTCCTACAAGCTGATTTAGCAGCGGGCCTGCTGTGATAACCCACTGCTAAGCAGATTCACATGAGGCTCACTGCTCACTTTGGACGGTTTCCTTGTAGAAGAAATACTGATGGTCTACACAGCATAAGTGAGACGGTTCACCTGCATTTTAATCATTAATAATTGCTTACACTTATATAGCGCTTTTCTGGACACTCCACTCAAATTGCTTTACAGGTAATGGGGACTCCCCTCCTCCACCACCAATGTGCAGGCCCACCTAGTACATTAGTACTAGACAGAGTACATAGTGCTCCAGTACGCTCACCACACACCAGCTGTCAGTGGGGAGGAGAACAGAGTGATGAAGCAACTTCAGAGATGGGGATTATTGGAAAAGGCCAATAGGAATTTTGGCCAGATGGCCAGGGTAACACCTGTACTCTTTTCAAGAATCCCTCGGGATTTTTAATGACTACAGTATAGTGTTCCCATCACTATACTGGGGCATTAGGGAACCACACAGATTGCTGGGTGAGCGCCCCCTACTGGTCACACACATGGTCTCTTATCCAGGTACTGACCAGGCTCACACCTGCTTAGCTTAAGTGGGCTGCCAGTAGTGAGTTGTAGGGTGATATGGCTGCTGGCCAGCTTTAATAAAAGAAGGCAGTCAAACCCATGCCACGATAAACTCAAAACAGTGTTCCTATGAAGCACAGCACAATCACATTTGCTAGAGACATTTCTAAAATGCTCAACACAAGAAAAAATTATCAGTTCTTTTCAATTAACCTATAGACCATCCTCAATAAAGACAGACTAAGCAGGATAGTGAAGCTAAATTACTGGACAACAGCTACAGCTCTCAGAAATCCAAGTCAAACAAGCAGTGCGAAACGCTGATGACCACCCCATTTCACGGTGAATTTGAGCTCCTTCCATCTATGTGTTGATTTAAAGCGCCTAGATTCAAATACAATAAAATTGAGTTTAATCTGGACAAGCGACTATATATTTTACTTCATACATTTATTTTTTTTCTCGTCATTCATATATGTTCCTTATTTGTTAAGGGGATCACGTCGTGTCAAACCCATTGTGTATTGTGTTGCGTCTATTACCTGCCTGCAAAGGAACCCCCCCCATCTTGGGCAATAAAAGGAAGTATTATCATCATGATACTCTGTATCAGAAAGGCAAAACAATTTCCACCAGGTTAGACAACTAGACAACACATTCATTCACATGTTCAGTCAACTGGAGTAGGAGACTTTCCACCTGATGTGGCTGAGATTTAAGGTTATACTCCCAGCTTGCTTCCACAGAACTTCTTAAATGATGCCAAGTTCAATAGCAACAGTTCAGCCGTCTCAAATGCCTGCAAGAGGCCACGTCTCGGAGCTTGAGAATCTAGACTCACTATATGAAATAAATACTTGCCATGTTTCTTTAAAGTGCGGTAGCCAGGCTAGGCTGGAGAAGAATGAAAATCTAGTACAAGGAGGGACACAGCCAGGCAGCTCTCGTCACGGTAGAGAGCTCAGACTGAGAAAACAGCTGCGCATCTTTCAGCGATTTAAATGCAGATGTGTGAAGATGGGTGCTTGGGTGGATCTGTGCGTTGATGGGTCTTGTATGTAAAACGCACCCCTCAAGTACATGACAGTGACATGCAGCATATAAGATCTTCAAGGGCCCTGTGGCCTCTTAGGAGATCCAGATAAAAACATAATGCTTCTACACATACCATATCACCTGGGTCGAACCATCTAGTTTGTGGGCGATGGGGTGCCTATTAGAGGAACGCCAGGACAGAGTCTGAAGTTCTGCATGTGTACCGCAGTAAGCACGCAACTGAAGAGAGCTGGGGTTCATCCTTCTACTCAACTTTTGCAAAAATTATTAATGGACAGTGTTATACAGATGATACTATGTGTGGCAATTTGCTGAGATTCCATGAGTTTTCATCAGTTTGCATGATTAAATGTGTGGCTCCATATTTTAACTTTTTCTCATCTTCTCTTTGCTTTTCGTTTCTTTAAAGAAAATTCTCTATACCCAAAAACTAATATGTGCCTTTACCAAGAAGCAAGATGGCTTCAACAAAATCTTATTAACTTCTAAAGCCCGCACCTGAAATTGATTCTTTACCTTCTCATGTAATGGCTTTTAAAGCAAGATGTGATGATTTTTTATCCTCTTTAACCTGGCAGAACAAAAAGGCAGCTGCTTATAGCCGCGCTCAGCTGACAGTGCTAATTTCTCTAATCCACACCGACCTGCGAGGAAACTGTAACTCAGATTTCTTTCTGTTTCTGTGTGAACATGCACAACAATAAAACAGGTTAACTGAACGATAATATCCCCATACTAGATCTTCATGTGTCCCTACAGACTTAGCTACCCAGACAATGAAAAACTGCTGTGGTACCTACTGTAAGTCGCAGAGAATTAAAAATAGGATAAAAGGGGGTAAATTAACTACCTAGCATTATCAAGTCCTTCACAGTATACTTACGAGTTTTCCACAATGCTTTCAGTTCAGCATATGTAGGCTTAAAAAAGCAAAGCATCGAGATTTGTTAAAGAAATATCAAAGATATGCCGTCTTTTTTGACACTATGTCTAATAACACCAGATCTTTCCCTCTTTAGGCAGAAGCACCTTGGTTTGAATTAAACATCGCACCAAGAGCGTGCGGACAAAGTCAACCCACTGCTTCAATACCAACACAACTGCAGGAATGATGAAAGCAGCAAGGGGCCAATCCCAGGAACTCATATTTTCCAGTTTATCCGAATTTCTCCCAGTAAACAGTAGTCCTACTATTGTCTAACAGGAGGAAAGTTTCTGTGCTTCTCTGCAGTTACAACATGTGGGGACTGAGCCAAGGACACTGAGCGCCTCACTCCAGTGGGGTGAGGCCAGCCGGGATGAAATGACAAAACCTGAAGCTGATCCCCACATGCCTTCCACAATCTCCCCTCCGGCACGGATTTCAGCTTCCCTGGTGAGAAGACCAGGGCTCTGATCCTCACCAGGTGAGATAGGCCGAAAAACTAGTTTATCTAGGACATGCTCATTTAAATATCTTTATGGCAGCACTTCCCTTACAAAACACTTGCCCTACAAAAACAAGAAGATGAACCAGGATTCTGCTTAAAATGAACCGTAAAATGATTCTGCTTTCAGAGCTGTGTGGTTATGCTTAAAACTTTCCATTCCGCAGACTTCATGGTTCCAAAATGGTAAAAAAAAAAAAGCGGCTTAATGTCTCAGCACAAGCTGAACATGGCTCTGGAAATTTAAAAACGCAGGCATTTCCAAGCATGTGATGACATCGATATTTTACCTTAACAGCAGGCACAGATGTTCCAATTATTTAAACGTAATTAGCAAATGAGCTGCCGAGCATTTGGGTAAATCTCACAGCTTTTTCATCTCCCCTCTCAGTCTCAAACAACAAAAGAATTAAGGGTGAGCCTGCTATGAGTAAGGTGATCAGACAGATACAGTATCATAAGAACGGATGGGGACTCTCTGCTGAATACCAGCAGTAGATCAAGTTTTCAAAATCTGTACATGCTTATTCTCAATTTACAATCATCTATCAATTTTCTAACTGTTTGGATAACTGATTAATCCAATACAGGCTCACAGGGGGTGCCAGAGGCTAAGCAACAGGCACAAGGCAGGATACCCTCTGGATGAGACACCAATCCAGGCCAATTTTTACTGAAGACAATTAACCTACCAACGTGTCCTTGGACTGCGGGAACAGACTAGAGCACCCTAAGGAAACCCACTAGAACACAGGGAGAACATACAAACTCCACACTGATAGCACCCTAGGAATTCAACCCAGGGCCCAAGCGCTGGGAATCTGCAATGCTAACCACTGTGCCACAGTGCCACCCTCCCATTTACATATT